TAACAATTTCAAGAAATTGTAGTAAAATGCAAGCAATAAGTACCTCTCAGTTTATCTGCAGTTAACAGGGACTTAATAGGCTGTTTAAAATTATTGCTAATGTTTAAAAAGTATTGTTTAGTTTCAGGAATTTCCTTTAAGTTGAGATGAACTAAAACTGACTTGAACCTAAATTGGTGCCAAATCTATTAGTATACTGAGTGATGTGAAATCACTGGATGCCCATTAGCCTAGCATGGGTCCCAACATACCAACAGGCCTGGACCTGTACCAATTATTGATCTTACATATTGTGTTTCACCTCTATCTATTTCTCTCTCAATAGTTGTTATTAGATCTTGAAAATTTGAGTCTTACTGCATAAGATGGCAAAACGGCAAAAAGTCAGATCAACCCATCTCAAAGTGGCCATGAAGGAAAAGGCTAAGCTGGCAAAAAAGAACAAGAAAAATATAGTGAAAAGAAAGAGACCCAAAATTATTAAGTCGAATACGACAGAAAAGAGACCACGAGAAAGTGAACAGGACGAAATGGATGACATGGAGGATGAAGATCTGCTTTCCATGGTTGAGAAAAGTGATCTGGAGTACCTAGCTTCTCAGGTTGGTGAAAGAATTTCAGCTGATTCTGCATTCTCAGGGCTTAGCCATAGGTCCATGAAGCACAGACAAGATGAAAACCACATTGAAGAAAGTTATGAGCAAAGGATGGCATCTAGGGCCACTGAAGATGCAGCACAGGTGAGCCAGAGACCTCTTCTTCCTATCAAGACTGCCAACAAACTTATCCCACAATTTATAGATGTCAGAGATAAGGAAGAAAAAGAGAATGATGAAAGGCAGAATGATGATACAGATGATCTGAAGATTTCTGGATGTTCAGGTCCAGTTAGTGCTGTCGATCTACTAGAAGTACGGGAAACTGAACTGCAGAGCAGGAAATTTAAGATTGGAAATTGGGCCTCTGCTCTCATTGAGAATCCAGAGGAGAATGTGGAGCATTTGAAACATCTTGTCAGTCTATTGGATGAGCAGCGACCTGGTCTCCAAGTGACTGTTAAAAAGTTGGCTTCTCTCACCCTTCTTGAAGTCTTCAGTGACATCATCCCTTCATACAAGATAGTTCATCATGATGGAGATACCAAGTTGAAGAAGGAGACCAGGAAATTGTGGAAGTATGAGAACATACTATTGAGCAGTTACAAAGCATACCTAAGTCATCTTGAGAAAATGTGTTCAATGGTGAGAAGCTTAAAGCAGTCTCCAGAGAAGCCTCAGCTCAAGGCCCTTTATCATTTAGGTGTGATGGCTACAGACTGTCTCTGTAAGCTTTTGGTTACTCATCCTCACTTCAACTTCACATCTAATATTGTGACCTTCATTGTGACTTTAGCATTGCATCCTGATCCAGATGTGGGTGAAAAGTGCTGCATGCACTTGACCCAGTTATTTCGTCAGGACAATCTTGGTGAGATTACACTACAGGCAGTGAGACAATTGTATAGGTTGGTGAAGAAACATAGTTATAAAATTCCAGGAAGACTCCTTGGAACACTTTTGCATCTACGTGTGACACATATCAACCCTGATGCAGAAATGAAGGAAGCCATGCCCAAAGCTGATGCTTATCTTAGTGGGATCAAGAGGAAGAAACTCTCAAGGAAACAGTATCAGGAATTCAAAGAGAAACTGGCTACTAAACGGGATATGCAGGCTCTGCAAGCAGAGCACAATGTTCAGCTAAAACAACGATACCAAACAGAAACACTTAATGTTGTCTTTACCGTCTATTTCAGGATAATCAAGTCTAAGCCAAATCCAGACCTGCTTTCTGCAGTTCTAGCTGGCCTTGCAAAATTTGCTCACTTGATCAATGTAGATTTTTTCTCTGATCTAGTGAATGTTCTTCATGAACTGAGCAGTTCAGGAGATCTGATCCCCACACAAGCTCTTCATTGTGTGCAGACAGTTTTCACAATTCTGAATGGACAGGGTCAAGCATTCACCATTGATCCCCAAAGATTTTATGGTATGTTGTACAACACTCTCTTAGATGTTATCCAAGTGCCATCTGAAGACTTTATGGAATCAGTGGTTAGAACAGTAGATGTTGCAATACTTCAGCAGAGGAAAAGCATGTCTCCAAATCAGTTGGCTGCATTCTGCAAGCGGCTTGTGAGCATTGCTCTTCATACTGATGTTCCTCACACCCTGGCATTCCTTTCAATTGTCCAACCCATTTTGGCATCAAAAAGAAAGCTTTTAGCTATGGTTGAATCTGATGGAGAGGAGGGGTTGCCAGGAGCCCTATCAATTCCTATCACTCCTGGAATGGGGTTTCAGGAGGAGATGCCATTTTCCATCATAGCAGAGCTTCAGATTCTTATGAGGCACCATGACTCTATGGTGAAGGCCATGGCCAAGCATATTCTTAATGGTTGTCCTGCTACTGGACCCTCTTCCATGCCTATGGAGTTGGTGAGACTGAGCCCACTTGAAATCCAGCATCTGTATTCTCAAGGTAGGAGCAAGGTACCTATGCCTTCATTGAGAACTGGTCAAGTTGCAAAGGTCAGGGAGACTTTTGAGCCACCATTGTCTTCAATATTGAAGTGCTCTTGGGAACTAGCCAGAAATGAAGTATCTGAGCTAATGAGCAGTGAAGGGTTCTGTGAAAACATCTCATCTTGTTTTGATTTGGAATGACAGGGAGGAATAAATTGAATGAGTTATTGATATGCTTGAGTCAGCAGAGGCATAGCCAGGGGGGATCTCTGGTCATAACATCTGCCCAGAAATTCAGCTGGGGGGAGGGGGGGGGGGAAGGGAATCTTTTGGCCTGATTGTCCTACAAATACAGGCAGAGGGAGAAGTCAATGGGCTTGGACCCCTCAGATTGCTGACTTCACATGTTCAATCGGTCTCTTCGGCTGTACCACCCTCCCCCCCCCCCCATCTCATTGCAAGTTTTGTTCCTACTACTACCCCCTGCTACCCTGGTTGCTCAATAAGCTTTCTCCAAAGACTTTTTCCAAGTCCATGGATTTAGGAAAAGTCAGACCTCCTGAAATTTGATGCTGGTTATGCCCTTGCAAGTTACAATATGATTCATACTTGTCCTAATTGTCTGCAAGTAAAAAGAAAAAATACTTATGCAACATTGGAAAATAAATTAAATCTGCAAAGTAAGCCAGCTTTAGTAGTTGCTCCCAGGGGATGTATTATCTCTCTAGCTGTCACCAAAGAACAGCTACAAAGGGAGTGCTCATTATTCAGTTCCATAAAAGGAAGGCTTAAATATTTCCAATCAATATTTTTTTCTTTTTTCATCATAATCTTTTTTCATCACTTTTCCACTGTGAAAGAAATAAGTGACCAGCATTGGAAGGGTTATTATCCCCAGTAGACCTTCTTATAGTTCATCTAGTCCCAATAAGGACCACTCCATAGTCTAACAAAGAACAGCAAAAGTCTAATTTGTTAAACTTATTCCCTATTCCTCTCCTTTCCAGTTCCCCCAAAAAACCCCACAGGTTTGAGACAAAAGCAAGGCAGGGTTTTGATATGCTTCAGCAGGCTATGAGAAATGACACCCTATTAACCCTTACATGGCCAAGGGGATTGTTTTGACCCACAGCTAATATTTACATTGATTGATTAAAATTCTGGATTAAAAAATCCTATTTGTTGTTATGCATATATTGATGGCTGGAATAGGTGGGTCTGTTTATGTCATTGGAATTGGCAACTCAAAACAACAAGATTAAAAAAAATATTTTTTCAAAATTCTTTGTTGTGGGTTACTTTGGCCAACTAAGGGTTAAAGGTTCATACCACTTGGTCCTTTCTGGGTCTGGAACTATAATTGAAACAATATACCACAGGATTCCTGAAGGCATGTACAATTTTTTCACATTTCATCACAGAATTGTTAGTTGACATCATGACACTGACTTCACTCAAGGATGCCCATATCACATTCGCAGAAAATAAAAAATATGTGTGTATGCTACATAGTATCAGGATTTGCTCATTGGGGTAATGGAGAAAATCTGTTGGCCTGCATGGCTTTGGTATGAAGTGTGCATCTCTTACAATTCATTAGGGGTGACCTTGGAGAAATGGAATCCACACCATAATTGTTACATTTGTGTAGATCCAATATTTCCCAAGCTGCATCCAATGGATTATAAGAGATGTATACCACATTCATAAATAGCACTTGCAACAAAGAGAAGTTTCTAGCTGAATTTTTGCCAGAATATCATTTGGGAAACATTCTACTCCTGTCTCAGATATCTTAACATAGCCTCTATGTTGTCAGGGCATCAAGGATCAAGAGAATGCAGTTTGGGGTTCTCAATATGCCTACACCTGTAAAAATATTTGGTTCATCTCAAACATTTTAAAAGTTGCCTTAGATAATGTTTTTGAAAATTCCTTGGTTTCATGGAAGGAATTATTTCTTTGTAAATTTGGAGACAAATTTTTTTTTTTTTAGCTTAAATCTCACAAAAAATGTATATATCTTCTCTAAACACAGACCTAGACAACTCTAAGCAATGTTGAACATTTGCAGTGTCTTTGGTCAAGGTTTTTAACATCTTTAGAGAATGTACCCATTTGAGTGTCATTCTGGACTCCATAAGCTTACTGTATAAGAAATTTTCTCTGCTGCTCTTGAACTTTGGTAGCTCCAATAGGAGCAGTTTATCCTGCATGTATTTGATATTTAGACTTGAAGTCCTTTCTTCTTACATTCCTGATCCAAAAGCAAAAGCATGTGGAATGGCTTGGGCATCTGATTCAAAGATGGAACTTACTAACAGATCTTGTACCTTGGGGACTCATAAATGCACAGCATGGCAAGAGCTAATTCTGCTAATTAGTGAGTCTGTGGCTTGACCTTATCCTGTGCTAACACATTCTTCTGTCCTTTCTAGGAAGTGAAGTAGGTTGTGGTATATTGACTCATGTAACTTTTGAGTCAATAACGGTAATATGAGTGAACATAGCAGAATGAAGAGCACTACAGAATCCAGGTCAGTGCTGGACTCTTTAGATGGGAGTTCAGCTACATTCAGCAAGTTTCAGCAACAGTATTGGCTGACCAAGGAGGTGGTATCTCGTAAATTGAAGAAAGATGATGATGTCACAGCTACTGACACAGAGCTAGACACAAAATTGGAGCTGTATAAGAGCATCAAAGACTCCTCAGAAAAACTGCACAAGTCCACATCAGCCTATGGGAAGAGAATCTCCAAGATGGCTTCTGAGATGAATTGCTTTGGGGACTTCCTAAAGGAGAACTCCAAAAGTGATAAGACTAAGGCTGGGGTAATGATGTTGGCTGTTGGCAAGTGCATGGGTTATTCAGCCCAGCTTGCCCTTATGATTCGAATCCCAATGGGAAGACTTGAGCAAGAGGTTGAAACATTTAGGCAGCGTGCCATCTCAGATACTGACCGAACTGTCTCAGAGACAGAGAAATCACGGCATGAATATAGAGCCACATTAATGTGGATGAAGGAAGCATCACAAACCTTGGATCCAGATGCCCATAAACAGATGGACAAATTCCGAAAGGTGCAGAGGGAGGTGCGCAAAAGCAAAACCAAATTTGATCGGTTGAAGCTTGACTGCATGCAGAAAGTTGATTTGCTGGCTGCCTCTCGCTGCAACATGTTCTCCTATGCTCTACAAAAGTATCAGGAGCAGTTGCTGAATTTTTGGGAGAAGTCAAATCTCATGGTAGGGAAGCTGAAAAAGTTCTTTGATTCTAGGTATGTACCTTATGACTTCCTTGTTGTCAAGGAACTCCAGAGTGCATCAAAGGCTCTGGAGGAGCATGCTCCATCAGTGGAAGATCTTTTCAGCACAGGTGATCCTGATCTCAAATTGTTCTTTGAAGAGTTTCATGATATTCTGGTATTGGATAAAGAGGGCAAGGAAGGTGATAGGGAGAAGAGGCATAAGAAGAAGGGACAGAGAAGATCAAAGAATAAAACAGAGGAGGAAAAACCAGAGGAACACAATGGAGTGGGTGCAGATTCAGATGAGAAGATTTTGGATCTGGCAGATGGAACCTTACCCTTACAGCCACCAGAAGGAGAAAAAGAAGAGAATGAGGCTACTGCTTCTTCTTTGATTGATGAAGACTTTCGCAAAGTCTGGGAAGAGGCTTTTGGAGGAGTGGAGTTGTCTGTCAGTACTGCAGAATCTAAATCCATGGATACAGCACAGGCATTACAGGAATTATTTGGTGTATGTTCAACACCTGAGAGTGAACCTCCCTGTCTGGTTCCTCCTTCAAATTCTTCCAATCCTTCAATGAATGTTTTTGACAACCTCTTGCTTCCATCACAACTGCTAGATGTAGGGCAGCCATCTGATTTTATGAATATGTCAAGCTTTCCCCTGCCCTCTGGAAATCAGAATCAGGTTGTGGATCAGAAAAGCAACATCATAACAGGTTCCACTGAGGCAAGTGTCCCTAATTCCTCCTCCAACACATCTCTGCCTACCAGCCAGCCAGATTACTTCAAGTCCTGGTATAGCAAATTTGCCCACTTGGATCCTCTAGCAGATCCTGATGCTTTCAAGACTGAAGGGAATGAAGATGTTTGAAAAGTCCAACTGAGATCTTTCTTTTTGCTAATATGCTGTGTTGTCACATTGAACGAATGTGTATGTCCCTGCTCACTGGTGAAGGATTTCTATGTACTAATCAAGTCTCTAATCTTGGATCATTGATTTGAATGCATGTTCTTGAACTTTGCCCTCCTTTAGAGATCTTTCCAGCTTTCAACATACATTCTGTGTGTCATGGTCCTTATAGCAACTGTGATCTTTCCTTTCTAAGTACAGGATTCTGATCATAATTGCATTTTTTGCATGAGTAATAGGGCTGTTTTGGTTTCTTTCATCTTCTACAGGCTTATGGATATTTTATTTAAGGTGCTCTGTTGATCTGAGTAAAGTCCAAAAGTGGTCATTAAGTCACTCCTGCTATCTTTTTTTCTATTTTTCAGATACTTGAGAAACATCAAAAACTGTTCTCATGAGAAAGCCAATAGGTCTTGGTCCTTTACCAAAGAAAGTTTAAGCTGAATGGGACTGAGGAAGGGAAAATTACATTGTTCACAAAAACATAGCAAAGATGCCAGAAAAAGTTGAACAATGCAGCAAAATGTATATAAATTGCTGCACTCTGTCAATTTGTGCATGACTGTAGTGCAGTGACTGCAGAGTCACTATGTGCTTGAAATTACAGTCACAAACCAGCTAAATAATTTAATTGAGATAATTATGAACTGCTTGATAAAGTAATCAAATTTAAAGTAGTTCTTGATTCCATCTTTGTATTTGACAAAAGAAGCATAAAAATGTCAAAGAAGTTGAAGGAAATGATGTCTATCTCATTATCTTCTGCCAGACAAGGATACTTTCATCTTTTCATTTTTAATGTATATGTAGACAGTCATATTACCTGATCTTGCTGTTGATGTTCAGTTACAGTTTTTTGAGTACCTTGCATATACTAAAAATAAATCAATAGAGAGGAGATTTTGCATGTTCCCTTAATCACGATAAATTTGTTAAATTGTACTTAAGGCTTTATTTGTTTTAATGATTTTTTAATATTTCATTTGCCTCCCATTTAAAGTACAGGCATTGGAAGTGCTGTTTAAAATATATTTGATGTTTGCATTATTGTATGGAATAATGAGTTGCACTAAGTATTGTGCTAGTATTCCATGGTTCCATGCATGTTTGATATATTTTAGTGCTTTACCTATTTTTGAAAATATAAAATGACCCTAACCTGAGAAGGTTTAGAATTTAAATCTGACAAAAAGGATGAATTTAACAGCTATTCCACATTTTGTGGAATAAAAATAATGTCATTTTCATCCTACAAGTTCATTAGCATTTTAAGAAAACTCAGAAATGATTGTGATTGGCAATGCTGTTTTAAAATGCTAGTCTGCCAGTTTCATTATAAAGTGACCACCATCAAAGAAGGGAGTGCATCATGAATCTTTTTATTCATTTATAGGCTTAAAGGCCATTCAAGTTTATCTAAATATAATGAAGAATTTCATATATTGCAAAAAATCAAGATACTATTTACACAAATGTGTATGTTCATCTACAAAATGTATTGAGAGTGGGATTGTTTGCAAGAAACCAACCTTTATATCTGGATAATTGAATTCTAGAGGGAAGTTAATTTTCCTCATCTAGATAAGCAAAGACTGGGGGCAGATCTCATGAAGACTTTTTTCTTCATATGCAGCATGAGATATTCCAGATGGGAGTGAGAGGGAGATAAGCCCTTTAACTGCTATGGGGGTTTTTTTCTTTGCTTTTCACTATGTTGCATTTTTTTGTATGCCATGATCTTTAATTATTTGCTAATGTAAGTAAGGTCCCTCACTTTACTTATTATGTAAGTTGAAGACTGGATCTTGAACTGGTTCTAGTTATCTTTGAATATCTTTGCTATATCCATTGCAAGGAGTGAGTAGTGTCCATAGAGTTAACTCATTTGCAGCATGAAAAGGGCCTAAAATAAGGAAAGAAAAGGGATGCTAACTTCATGAGATGAAGGGAGGGGAAATTCCTGAACCATATCTAGTCTACTTGCTCCTGGATTTCACTCATCATTTGTAAATTTGTCAAAAATGAAATCAAAATGTTTCTCCAAAATTCATTCTATTGTGAAAGTATGACTCATTCAAAAAGTAACTAAATGTAAAAGTGCTTTCCTTTTGATTCCTGTTCACATTGAAGAACAATAGGATTTCATCAAATAATACTGTGAGGAGGAGGAGTACTCTTACCTCTGAGAAAAAGCCTCAGATTACTCTTTGCCGACAATTTCTTTAGTAGTTCTGAACATGCATCAGAGGAAGAACATGGTACTTATTGAGTAATACAGAATATGGCAAAAGAAAATATCTCTGATTTGAAAGCAACTATTACTCTGCAATTACTGAAACTGTTCTTATGAAACTTTTACTGTGCATTCACTGTTATCTTCTCAACATTCCTTTGAAATCTCTTGAAAATTTGTTTTGCTATAGCAAAGCAATCAATGAGCTATGAAAGAAATCAAGAATTGAATATGGATGAGGGACTCTTGCCCCTGCAGAGTGACAAAACACAACATATACATAATATATACCTCGTATATATATACCCATAGCCCAAATTCTTTTCTTACTCCAGCGTGGGTGTCCCTTATCTGTTTTCTATATTAAACTTATTCTGAATTATTGCACACAACTTTGTTTAGGCAGGAGGAGTTTTTGAAATGAATTTTTACTAGTCTCATGCAAACACCAGTCTTTGTGGGGTGCAAGTTTCATGAATATAGCAGTTGTAAAAACTTTTTTTTTTAATTGAGTCAGAAATTTTTGCCTTATTGCTATAGCCTGCACAATGAACCCTACTTCTTAAAAATAAATATATTCTAATTTTAGTGAAGTGATAATCATTGCCCAGTTGACTTTGATACCAGTATTTGTAAATCAGGTGTCAGCTACCAATCATATTAGACCATTTCAGTCCACATTGTTTTGCCCTATTTGTAATTGGGAGATCCTTGTTTTATAATGTATGTACCTAATTTAGTGTCCGTAATGAATATCATTTCGAAAACTTGTTCACTCTTGATGTTCTCCTGGAATGAGACCAGCTTCAGTGTCAAACATTGACCATCCCAGCTCTACAAGCAGATCGGCAGCTGCCACAGTGGCAGACCTGGTCAGTGTTTTGTTTTCATCAAGAAACAAGTAGCAAAAATTTTAAACTATGAAATAGCAGGAAGAACCGTCAACCTTCATGATGATTGCATCCTAATCATGTTCCTCTGATTTTGCTGATCTGTTGTATAAAAAAAATTGTCATCTCAATTGCAGCCCCCTATGATCAAGTCATTGCTGTCAGGATGCTTTAGTGGAACTTGTTCAGCTGTTCTCTTCCAGCCTTTGGAGGTCCTGAAAACAAGAGTACAAAACCGGCTTGTACAGTTGGAGAAACTCAAATTCCATGATAGGTTTGTTATGTCCCAAATGTCAAATTACTTGACTCTTCTGGATCTTATTGATTGTTTCTCATCTCTTCTTTAACAGACCTGGAAATCGTGGGATTTTGCTTCGAGAGACTAAGGTTATTGCAAGACAATATGGTTTTGCTGGATTCTGGAGGGGACTGACTCCTGTAAGTAATATTGTGGCATCATTTTCTTTCTTTGATACATCTTCATCTACTTCTCCTTCATAAACCTTTCTTCCAGGCATTATTACGAACAGTCCCTGGCGTAGGTCTCTACTTTGGATTTATACATACATTTCAAGTTTTGCTGACTCATGGGATGAGAGAACTCCATCCGCATGAATCTCCCATTGTTGGTTTCACTTCAAGAGCTGTGACTGGTATCATCCTCCTACCTTTCACAATACTGAAGACACGCTTTGAGGTGTTTTTCATGTTCATCTTCCTTGAACAATTTTGGATCAAGTCAATTATCATTTCACAAACTTGTATTACAGAGTGGAGTATATAACTACATAGGAGTGGGAGCTGCATTGAAGGACATATTTGTTCATGAGGGCAAGCGAGGCCTTTTCTCAGGTCTTGTGCCCACTCTTATTCGAGATGCTCCATATTCTGCCATTTTTCTCCTTTTCTACACTGAGGTGAAGAAGTTAGTCCCAAGTGGTAAGTCACAAAAATGTTAGATCTCACCATTCTCTGTGTCTTCATGTCTGCATGCCTTGATGACCATAGTGAAAGTATCATTTGTGAAAAGAACTGTATACTTTGAACTTGATGGTAGGACCAGGGATTGATGTTGATGGTGCATCCGTTTTGTATTCATTGGAGACTACTGGCAGATCGCACCAGCCCCCATCTTCTTCTCTTGTGGAGTAGTCGCAGCAGTCATGTCAGCCTCAGTCACTCAGCCTGCTGATGTCATACGGACACAAATGCAGCTCTACCCTGGAAAGTTCCCGCAGATTAAAACTGCAATCAAGCATATTCACAAGGTCAGTTTTTATGCAACTGTTCCTATACTATGACAAACAAGTTGATTGCAAAGTCATACAGCACTTTAATATGAAACTATGCACCAAAGCTCAGTGAAAGTTGTGGAATAGTTTGGCATCAAGGAAGAACATTTTATGAAAAAACATGCCTCATAGGAGATGCTACTGATGTGACATTTGTATATAAACTGCTTGCCCATACCTGGAAGTAATTTAGATAAAGAATGGGGTCATCAGGTCAAAGGATGATTAACTAAAAGAAAGGGGAGGAAAAGTGGTTTTCAGGGGAAACCCTATCTCAGGTGGAGGCATGCTGCCTGAGGTAGGGAAGAAGAGAAGGAAGCTGGATTGGGTTTCCCACATCCCCTCCAGCTCATCATAGCCACAGCAGTTCCTCTTCTCTCATCCCCCATTGAGAGCTGGTCCAAACCCTACATAGTTTGGGTGATCACTTCTGTATTGAATCTTTTGAGGAATGGCATTGCACAAGTGCTATTTGCTACTAATAAACAGCATCCTTAGAGTCTACTCAAGAGTTTATTTGCAGCCCCTTACAACATCATATATTCAATGTTTGAACTTGTTATGTTCCAAAATGACATCACTTCAGCAGTGCCCCCATTAAGGCATGTGTTCTTTTCATGCAATTATGTTTTACACACCCACCTCTCAAATGCCTTTCCTATGGCCATATAGTGGGCCAAAAAAAAACAGACATTTTTCAATGATATACTTCACTCACAGCATATATTTTAATGTGATTTGCAGCATTTGAAAGAGGAATGAATGAGCTATAAAATGGTGTACTTACATTTCACATATCTTCAGCAGTTTCAAAAATTCAAGAGCTCACATGAACAACATGCAAAAACTCCATTGAATTGGGCACAGACTGCACGTGACCTTCAGCTGCCACCTGTCCATTTTCACTGCTACAAAAAAATGTCAGTTTTTCTTGGCAGTTCATATGAGCTTTCCAAATTTCTGAAACTATTGAAGTTATTTGAAATGTAAGTACACCCTTTTAATGCTTAGTCTTTCCTCTTTCAAATGCCACAAAATGCTTTAAAATACATGCTGTGAGTGCAGAACAGTGTATCATTGAAAAATATCCATTTTTTTATTATCCCATCCTATAATTAAACAAATAATTTGTTACTGCCATAGTTGGAGGGCTGGGAAGGCTTTTTCCGAGGATGGGCCCCTCGATGCATGCGCAAGTGCTTGATGACTGCTATGTCCTGGACTGTCTATGAACAGGTAAGTATTTTCATGCCACTTTTAGGATACTGGTTAACTTAAAGTAGATCTAGTTGGGTTTATTGAATTCAAAGTCATATAATGTTATTTTCCAGGTTATGAGATCCCTTGGCCTGAGAAGTTTGCCATCCAAGCATTGATTCTAGTGGCTATTCTAGTCTGATTTTACTGATGGAACTAGTTGACATCATTCATGTGCAATATTGTCCCAACTTTCTAGTGCATGCAATGTTTTGGTTGACATGTGATATGGCTTGGATAATATGAATGAAAGTATTTTTCACTTTATTTGATGACATTCAGTTCCAATATCATAAACTTGGATGGCTGTCCTCCTGGGATAGGCCCTTCACTCTCTGTGAAAAACTCCATTATCAATAATCAATTTGTAAATCTCTAATTGACTTATGCTACAACAGATACTGTATGTGCTTCAATTATGGTATATCAGAGTTTTATTTGAATGTGCAGTTATATTTTACCAATTTTGTGTCTTCCTCAGTGACTAGTCTGGCTATGAAGGTGTATTTACCAATGATGCACAAAGAGTGAATACTGAAATGGGACCATCATTAGCTATTAATGGCTTGTCAAGCTGCAGACGACAATGTTACCAGCCTTACAGAATTTCGATGCCTCGATCCTTCTGGACAAGAGCAAGAAGAATCCTTCTTCTCATCCATTTTTCAATTCCTTGGATTTCGCATTCCAACTGGGTCAGTGCCTGAACTGTCTAAGGAAGATGAGGACTTGAGCCAGCCCTCTTCACCTTCAACAGTAATAATCTCAAGCTCTGAGGTTGAATCACCACTGTCAGCCAGAAAAGTCATGCAGCGTTTACGCAGTCTACTCTCTGAGAACTGGATCCCCAACCAGCAGCGCCAGGCATCTCGAGCATACTGGATGCCTGATGCTGTTAGTCGAGAGTGCTATGACTGCAGTGAACGCTTCACGACATTTAGGCGGCGTCATCACTGCCGAGTTTGTGGGCAGATCTTTTGTGCTCGTTGCTGCGGGAAAGAATTGCCTGGCAAACTCCTCGGGCAAAAGGGTAATATCCGAGTGTGTAACTACTGCTATCGTGTCACCTCCAGCTACCTCAATCAGAATGGATCTTTCTCAGATGCATCAGCTGAAGAAGGATCCAGACGGGAAACCCTCAGTCGAAACCATGGCAGCATTACTTCTCTGAGCAGTGATGATGCAGTCCAACGTATCTTGACCAACTCATTGAAACGGAAAACTTCCCTCAGAAATCAAGAGGATAAGTTTGCTGCTTTTTTGCAGTCATCAACTGCTTCAAGCATGCCTGCCATGTTGCCCTCAAACAGTGCTGTAGTGGAAGAATATACAACAGATCTGCTGGATGACCCAGTATGGTTAGAAAGCACATGGATGCAAGTTTTCCTACATGAACAGCCACTGAATCTCAGAACAGGGAAGCGTGTTTCCCCTCTGACAGGCTCTGAAATGGTCAATCGATTGATCCAGGCTGGCCGTGTCCAACTTCGTTGCCAAGGCAGTGAAGTGTTCCAAGTGTTCTTAGATCTTGGAATGATACGTGCTTGTGCCCGAAGTGGGAAGATATTCAAAGATTCCCAAGCTTTGTATGAACCAGTACCTGTCAGCCTGCGAGAGGCCCTGTCTGACACTGGGAATGGGGTTTCAGCTACTGCCACTCTCATTGGGATTCCATCATCTGCTTCCTCATTCAGTGTTGATGAAAGGCACATGAATCAGTTTGGAAATGAGCCTATTCCAGGCTTCACATCTCCAGCTGCCCTGTCAGAAGACTGTGTGAGAAGTGTTCTGAAATCAACCACTGATGACTGCTTTTCCAGCATGGACATTTCACCCAGTTTCCACCCTGACAAAGAGCAACAGATGCATAGCATCTTTTCTAGTGCTTATCATTCTCATGAGCAGGCCTTGATTCATCAGTTATTGGAGCAAGAAGGTCTTCCCACATCTTGGGTGAGCATTCTTTCATCTTTGGTACATAATGTTGTGGACAATGTCACTCCAGATGTGCGACACAACAATGATGACATGGACATCTGTCAGTATGTTCATGTGAAGAAGGTTCCAGGTGGATCTAAGGCAGAGAGTATGGTAGTGAATGGTGTTGTCTGTTCAAAGAATGTAGCTCACCGCAGCATGATCATCAAACTTATTGATCCTCAAGTACTGTTGCTTGGTTCAGCCATCATGTATCAGAGAGATGAGAGCAAGTTAGTGTCTTTAGAACCACTGATCCTTCAAGAGTACGAGTATTTAAGAAAGGTTGTGGCCAAGATCATGTCCTTTGGTGCAGACATCATCATCGTGGAGAAAAATGTTTCCCGGGTCGCCCAGGACCTCCTCAAAGATTCAGGAGTGACCTTAATTTATAATATGAAGCCATCTGTCATGGAGCGTATCTCTCGGTCAACTAGAGCTGACATTGTACCTTCAATTGATGCCCAAATTGCACAACCTGACCTTGGAATCTGTCACAACTTTTTCATCAAGACATTCTCATTAGATTCTGGCTTAAAGAAGACTTTGATGTTCTATGATGGATGTGCCCCACACTTAGGTGTGTCAGTGATTCTGAGAGGTGGGACCCTCCAAGAACTCAAGCGTGTGAAGCGGGTCCTACTCTTCATGATCTTGGCAGCCTATAATTTTAAGTTGGAGCAATCTTTCCTTATTGATGAATGTGCAAATGTGCCTGATGATGCTGTTGAAACTGCAAGAAATAAAAAGGCATCATTTCAAATTGGGGAGGATGACCATAGCGAAAGAATCAAGGATCAGGAAAACATAATGGAAGGCAATCAAGACCCTTTAACTGCACCACATTCCAAAAGCCAAGATGGTCCTCACCCATGTGACATAAGCTTTTGTTCTACCTTGTCTGAAACAATTTTGTCACTTTCTCCTTTTCAAACATTTCAACCACCTTATTTGGAGACATCAGATGGAAAGCAATGCAAGCTAAGGAACTTTTTCCCAAAGGATCTATATCTGCAGATGCAAAATCGAACCCTGTTCCAATCACAACTTCATGAAAAGGGTTTGATCCAGTTAGATTCCTGGAGCAAGACAGATATGGGAAATCTGCACCCTTTCCTCTCTGCCAAGATTACTGAGAATGTGAAGCAGAGTGATGGACTCCAGGGTCTTCTGGCTGACTTTAGGTCCCGTGGTGGCTATGTCCGCCAGAACAGCCTGGACTCAATGATCCGTCGAAGACAGTGCTCACCCATGGAGATATGTGATGATGGGCATGAAGACCTACTCGCTCAGGGTGGCCTTCCAAATGCACTCAACCCCTACAACCACCAGAAGTTGACTGTCCTTTTTTCCACATTTGCACCTGACTCCCATGATTTCTGTGTCCATCCTAGGGTTGTTGATATGTATTTCTATGGCTGTAATGACATCCCACTTGGTGGATTCCTAGAGTGGTACTGCTTCCGCACAAGTTGCTTGTGTCCAGCCAAGTCCTGCGAAGTTCCTCTGGTGGAACATGTGAGACGCTTTGCTCATGATAAGGGTTGTATAGAGATCAGGATCGGGAGCTTGGATTCTGAGACTCCAGTCACGCTGTCCGGAATTGTCTGCTGGACATGGTGCAGGTCCTGTCAAGAAGCTAGTCCAGTGGTATCCCTGTCACAAGACTCCTGGAGTTTTTCGTTTGCCAAGTACCTGGAATTGCATTTTCATGGAGGCATTTACCAGAGGCAGGGAAGTTTGAGAATGTGCCAGCATTCCATTCACAAGGAACATAAACAATATTTTGTGTCAGGGCAACTGGTGGCAACATTCGAGTTCAAGCCAGTTTCGTTGTGGGAGATCTCACTCCCATCCATCGTCTTAGAGAGTCATCTTTCTTTGCCCAGTCGAGAGTCTCTTCTGGAATCCATTTCCTGCTTGCTGACGCTTGGGCATACGACCTTCGATGCAATGCACGGCAACCTTGAGGCTCTGCGGAAGGGATTAGAGGATTTTCAGTATGACCTTGAATTGGGCGCCATCAGTCACTTTGTCGATGAAGAGGCTTCAAATCCCTTCCGGAGTCAGATGGAACGTCTTCAACTACTCTTCACAGATCTTAAGTTATCCTATTCCGAATCTAAAGTCCTCCAGATCCTGGATGGTCTTGTGAAGGCAAAGACCACAACTTGCCAAGCAGTGTTGAAGTGGAATTCCATGATCCAAGAATTCCAACAAATGAAGAAGAGAGAAGAGAAATTGAACCGCGCCAGCTCCAGAGCAGCTTTATCGCCAGTGTCTGAAGCCAGGAAGTTGCCAGAACAGAAACAGGAGGAAGACTCGTCCGGTTTGCGAGTTGATGAGGAGTCTCAAACTGTCCAAACTGTGAAGCGATCAGAAAGTTCCCCAGCTTTACCTGCACATGATGCTGATTTTGACGATACTCAGCTGTTGCAGCCTCTGAAAAGCAAGGCTGAAGAGCAGGAAAAGAAGTCAGTACCTGCAAGAAGTTTCTTTGGTTCGGGTCCTTCCTATACTGTGTCATATCCTTTCCCAGCATCAGAGCATTACCTTTTACCTCTTTGTGTTGGACCAGCAGTAGTAATTTATGAGGATGAACCCAGTTCCATGATTGCCTTTCTCCTCTCATCGAAAGAGTATCATGTCCAGGTGGCCGAAATACAGACCGGTGTGCAGACAGGGAACTCTGAAACCGATCTGTTTCACATGAGCCTGGAATCAAACAATACTGAGTCTTCAGTCAACGACTCCTCGTTCTGGTCCAAGGATCCCAAAGTGAAGCCGGGGACTCAGAATGGACGTTCCTGTACCATTGAAATGCAGTTTACTGATCATGCGCATAAGTTTTGTCTTCGGGCCTACTTTGCGGCCCAGTTTAGGCAACTGCGGCGAAGTGTCTACCTAGCTGGTGAGGAAGCATATGTTCGATCCTTGTCTCGATGCAGTCCATGGTTGGCTAAAGGTGGAAAGTCCGGTTCACCGTTTTGGAAGACCCTAGACGACCGTCTTGTTTTGAAGCAGATGAAGCAGATCGAGATCCAGTCCTTCCTTGAATTCGCTCCCGATTATTTCCAGTACGTCCAGGAGTCCCGGCGTGAGAACAAACCCACAGTGCTTGCCAAGATTTTGGGCATCTACCGCGTCTCCTTCCGAACTTCAGGTCTCAGCAACTTCAAGATAGATGTATTGGTCATCGAGAACCTTTTTTACGGACGCGTTATTTCCCGCAAATTTGATCTGAAAGGATCCATGAGAAACCGCTTGGTGAAACACAGCAAGGTGGAGGAGTGCACGGTGCTACTGGATGAAAACTTGTGCAAGATGACTTTTGATGACCCTCTGTATATCTACCCCCATTCGAAGGAGATCCTTTCCCTGGCAATCAGCCGTGATGCCCAGTTCTTGACCAATCAATGCGTCATGGACTATTCGCTCCTGGTCGGCGTGGATGAAGAGAAAAGGGAGCTCGTGGTTGGAATCATTGACTATATCAGGACCTACACATGGGACAAGAAGATAGAAGGATGGGTGAAGAGTTTGAGCGGACAGCCCACCGTCGTCTCGCCTGAGATCTATGGCGCCCGTTTTTGCGAGGCCATGGCTCGCTATTTCTTCATGGTCCCAGATCGCTGGACAGGATTCGCACGACCCATTCACAACTGATTCATGAATATTGATTGGTGATAATCCTTCCTTCGTCTTGAACGAACTCGTACTTTATTTCATAACTATTCCCCCTTGTATCCTGTGATATATTGAGTACCAAATCGAGAAAAAATATTTTTCGGGATTCCTGTTTCACTAATAGATTTTATGGTAATAAACTCGCAGTGCATGTATATGACTTTCTTTTACCGTATTCGAGAAACGAAATTACTGGACTTTCATTGTTTGAAGGGGCACCTAATTAAATGAGACAAATCTGATAATAGTTCCGTCTCAGTCTTATATTGATTATGACCGCCTACTTCGATCAAGCTTATAAATCTTAGTTTCAAAGTGTGGCAATGTGATTCATTTTGGTAATAGAAGAAAAAAAATCCAGAGGCACCGAAAATTTGGATTTTTCAGGGAAAACAGCAAACAGATGGTGAGTGCAAGAAAAGCTGTTAAGGTAGGGCAAAACTGTGACTTCCGCTACCACTTTGGACCCCAACTATTTGTTCCCTTGTTTCACTGGTGCTGACGGCGTCTGTGTGCGCACGGTCATGTTGTCTTATACCTTCGATGAAACACGAGGAAAAGACGAATCGGATGACTCGAAGCACAGAAGGATTTCTCTCGGAATGTCAGGAGTTGAATTTTGTCGTGATCTTCCTTCATGATGAGCATTCCGCTTATTCCGCACCCCCTTCTGCTGAAGCAGCAACACTATTCTGGGAATTTCGCAAGCCTTACTTCTTCCATGCCCCCTCGCCCTTCAAGGCCGAAGCTATTAGACAGGCCCTTACACTTTGGTAATGATGGACAATAGTTCTTTCCTTGTTCAGATTTACCAGGTATTAAATTAAGTATTCAGGTATTAAGTACAACACAGCATCTTAACCAAATAAAGCGGAAAAAGTACGTCACCGAGATTCCCCATGGCAAATAAAGGGCGTCTTTTGTCTTTTCTCTTGTTTTTTTTTTTTTTTTGCCCATGGAAAGTGGGGGCCTCATGGTGTGTTTAAAAGGGGAAGGACCTTTAATGCATGCCTTAAATTTTCTTGATGAACTTATTTTATTTCAAGACAGTATCATGCTCTCGATTTCCAATATTGAAAAATTTGCCGACCCTTCTCTATTATCATTTACGGTTGTTCGTGGCACTCCATACGTTTTTGAGTCCCACGCAATCCTATCCTGCCAGACTTAGCGACGTTAATTGTCGCATCTTGATTTCCCTGCAAATACTAATTTGCACTTAATTGCTTGTCCTATCTTCCTTGCTAGTTGTTATGCACTATTTCCTTTGCCCTCTGGCTCTTGCTGTGTTTTTGGTTTACCCATTGGGGCTTCCCACTTCGTCGCAAATGGTAAAATCACAACTTTTTATTGGTAACTATGGAATTCGGATGTGACCTGCATGAGCACGACAGAAGACTGAACGAAAAAAGTGCACAATTAAAAAAAAAACTTGCCATCAGGAGAATGCAGGAAATGTTCCAGCAAGAAGTTACGGAATTCATCGATGGATCATATTCCAATCAGACAATTCCGCAACGTCTGCACTGCTAATATTTGAAGAGATATTCCTATGAATCACCTCTTGCTGAGTCCCAAAGCTCTCGGAGGACTGAATGGACAAGCAATCTACAGTACCATATGTCATAATTGATAATTATAGATAATGTTCAACAAATATTTAAAAAATTGAACTCACTATTAGGCTCGGTATTTAACGAGGAGGAGCACCTCGCTACCCTTGCCCACCATCAATTATTTACCCAGTAGAGATGAGGGGACGGTGATTGCATTGACGTCAGAGTACATATGGCACTTTCCATTAAACTAGAACTAGACAGGGTATTGATTGAGGTTTTCACTGGGAAATAATTCAATGAGAAAGTGATATGTTACGGAATTACTCTCCAGTTTCACGAGTGTTGCGGAATTCCCAGATTTGCCCTACGTTGGCAGTTAAAAATGTTGTTGAATTTCATGCCAAATGTGACTGAAGACAGGAAAAGGTTTTCCATGGGAGTTCCTTTTTGCAGTGGTAGAGTTAAAAACCATCACATGTTTCCCAAATGAGGTCTTTAGCCATTTGAAGACCCGTTTCTCTCAGAACCCATTCGGAAAAATTACGCTCGAAAGTAATGCGATAAGCTTTTATGTACCTCGAAGCAGGCTGGGCGACCACGTATCCTAGTGGGACAGTCTCCATTTCCAAACACATTCAGGTGTTCTGAGATGCCATCACCGGGACGAAGAAATGCTCCGGTTTCACTAAGCACATTAAGGCAGTGGTTCCCAATCTTTTCTAATATGCAGCACACATAAGGACACTTAACTTTCCACGGCACACCTAGCCATTTACTTACTTTCAATGGGATACTTGTGCTTGCTTCGCTGAACACAGCAGTTTGATACGAGGCGTGATAGTGCTACTCTCAGCTCGTTTTCTACTGAAAGATGGCGTTCACTCTTGTTTTAATTTTTTTTTAGTTTTAGTTTTTTTGTCAACTCTGAAATCTCATGGCACACTTAAGCCTTACTGGCGGTCCACCAGTGTGCCGCGGCACACCGTTTGGGAAACACTGCGTTAAGGGACTAGGGACTTTCACGCACGGTTGTGCATCTTTAAGTTAGCTTGTTTCCGAGAAACCAAATTGGTAATAAAAATGCACCTGGGAGCGAAGAATTTGTTTCGCTAGGCGATTGGCTGCAGCTACGTTTGTCACTCGTAGATCTAAGGGTCGGTCAACGAATGAGGAGCTAAATTCGGAACTGTTATATTCGGGATCAAGCCTATAGAAAATGCATGAGGATAGCTCTGGGTTAAAGTAGTTCCGATTTAAATTCGATTGCATGAAACTACGCACCGGCGAAACCAGGAAAAAGTGAAATTTTAGAAAGAGGGTGGGTCGACCCTTGGATCCTGTTTTCTGATTTCAAAATGATCGCCTACGCTGCAAATGGCGAAACGATTTCTCTAAGACTCCGAGTCGTCTCGGGCTGCAGCAGGATCCTGTTTTCAATCCCGATCTTTCGTGATCACGAGGAATGTCGATACTGGAAATTATTTTAACGTTGTGGTGGTAAATATGATACCTAGAGACACCGCAGCAATTACCTGTGGTTTCTTTCTTGGTTCATTATCGTCCCTGAAACTGCTTATAAAGAATACATGCTTAATTTAAAAATTCTAGATTAAGCCCTGTGTATTTTCTGCGACCAAAATAATAATTTCAATTCGTGTCTGGCTTCGTGTACTCCATCATCCGTCTTTTACGACAACAATCCCCTGATGTAACACGTCTGTCGAACTCAGCTGATGCATGGCATGGTGCTAATGGCTCACTCCCTTCGTGTCGGGTCGGATTGCTTATTCGCAATTTCATTTATAACTCGCCTGTCACAGAGACTTTCGGGTTTCCGTGTGTGCTCCCTTCTTATTAGGAGACACCGGATGCCTTTCCGTCCAGATATTGATGAACCGAAATGAAGAGGCGTCTGCAGTCTTTTACTCCTTCACTTAACAACTTTTGGATCGCGTTATTAGTCCGCCTCGACTCCACTTAAAACTTTTGGGTTGAGCTAGGCTGCGCCGAAGAATGAGATGAAGGACTTGAAACGAGGAAGACTCGGTAGGACCGCGAACTGCGCATGCGCGAGAGGCAGGCGCTACCACAACCCTCCTCTTACTTTCCCTCATTCAGCCGTCGTCTCTCCCGAAAAATCCATCGGATTGTCGGGTGAGTTGTTTTCCGATCTAATGGGGTTGCCTGGATCGTCGGTAATGCTGTAATTATCCATTTTGATACCAGTTATAAGTTTTGGTGTTATCGTTCGTGCGTGAGAAGAATCTATAAGTTCGTAACGATTCTGCCGTCATCATTTCCTCTTTTTTTTCCCCTGCAACTCTTCACCACCGACTGTAAAATCTCAGACCTCAGAATCTCTCTGCTTCCGATCCAAGGCTTGATAGGGTAGTTCCTATTGCATTCAATCGCACGCAGATTGCAGGAAAGCGGCAGAGGACAGTTTCTGAAATGACTTCTTTAATTACGACTGTCTTTTCTTTTTTAGGTCTTTCGGAAAACAAACAGCGATATTCACAATTTATAAACTCGTTTATGCAAAATTATTTTTCGACGGAAGGCAACGGAAGTTCGTGCAGCATGAAAATTGCATGCAAAACTTGATCGGGTAAAACCATCTAAGTTCGGACATTATAACGTACTTTTTTTTATTACAAAACTAAGCATTCGTGAACTCTCTCTCATAAACAGTTCGCTGCCAGGAAAGAGCTATTTTTGAGGGTGACTTCGCGAATGCCTAGTTTTACAACTATATATTTTGTATGGTATCCGAACAAGACACTGAAGGCTGTCCGAAATACAGTCTGAACTTAGATTATTTTATCCTTAATACACGAAAAAGTCGAAACTTCACACATCAGAAAATGTCAGATATTCGAAGCCCCTTTCCCTGTATTACATTGGATGCGCGATATTTTTCTGTGTTAGAATTCATGAACCAGAAAATACGAGGGTCCGATACGTCGAGTCGTGATCGTAAAGCTTACATCGAGAATTTTCACCATGTCGATCGAGGGTCGTTCATGGATGATGCAAAAGTTAATGATCTTTCCTCTCTCATTCCGCGTATTCCGAAAGGTTGGAAAGCCTGAACTTTATCTAGCCCTAATTGAACGTCGCGTGTTTTTCATAGTGATTTTCTTTCGCCTCTAACGAAGCTATATTAATCCATATCGAGGTATGAGAGATGGTAGCCTTGGTAATATTTCCTTAGAAACGTGGAAAATCACAGATGCCATCAATATGCGAAAGGAAAAACTTGTTAGACGAATGATTCAGGTCTGGACTTGACCATGTTTCAAATTTTAATTCATTATTATTATCGAAGGTTAAGCCACCTTCTATGGACCACCGGCTCGAACACAGAATGTCCAAATCCACCTGCCATCGGACAAGTAACGGAAACAAAAGTTACAGACG